GACATAAAAGGTGTGCGGGAGGCTCTGAGGAAACCTCAAACCTGCTCTGTTTTTTGGGAGAGCGGCAGAGAGTGCTGGGAAGGGAGGCTGGCAGTGCCGTTACTGCAGACAAGGAAGTGGAGCACTGTAATGCCTGGTGATAATTAGGGTAAAGTTTTGCATTAAGCTAAAGGTGCCAGGTTACTACTAGATACGGTGTGTTCCCTGGAGCCTGGAAACCAGTAAGTCTCTGCCTCTAGTGAGCCTTTCTTGAACATCGAGTCAGTGGGGACACTTGTGAAGTGAGGGCTTCCCTGCAGGAGCACTTTGCAGGGCAGGACTGGAGAGCTCGGGCCTGTCCTGCTGCTCACCGTGCTGGGGACTGGGCTGTCAGTCCTGGGTGGAAATGGGCTGCTGTCCCTGGAATTTGTTGTCAAGGAGCCTCAGTGAAGGGAAAACCAGGTTCAACAGTCCCACATGTGTCTTGCAGTGAGTGGAGCTGTTCGTGGCTGCTGGCTGAGTCCCTGCCCTGTGTGACGTGCTGGTTTGCAGCCCTAGTGCTCCCCACCCTGAGAAATGGCCTGGCAGGAATTAATGTGAAAAAGAGCAAAGCAGCTCTTCAGAATTAGCTTGGAAACACTGTGCGGAGCCCCTGGGCAGCTGTGCTTGGTGCCATGCTTTTATGTGGAGCCGTTTAGGGTTGCTCTGGATGCAATTCCAGAACATGGCTTTCCTTGTTATCCCTTTTCCCTGGTGGCTGATCCATGTGCTGCTCCATGGAAGCGGGGGGGGAATACCATCAGGACTGCAGAGGATGGAGTGTGAAGCCCAGGCTATTCGCAAAATCAATTGGAATTAATTAGGAAAGCTGATCAGGACAGGGGGAGCAGCTGGCAAAGTGCAGGGCCTGGGAAAAGGAGTCGGAAACTTTACTGTGAATTCATTGCTTGTTGTCCTGAAGTAGAAGTCTGAATAAAAAAAGCAGTCTAACTGCTCTCCCCAAATGTGGCTGCCCCTTTGCCCTGCCCCGGGGATGAGCTGCTCTCCTTCCTTCCTCCTCCTTCCTTCCACCCCACCCCACACCAGTCTCCAGAGACGTTTTCAGTCCAGCTGCAAATAGCTTGGTCAAGATCTGAAGACTAGGAAAAACGTAGGGTTGAGTAAAGCTAGCAAACGCCTAACAACACCTCCCCACACACACAGTTGCTGCAGGGAATTGCTGCCCAGGCTCAGCAGCAGCTCGAGTGAGGGCTGCCTGAAGCAGTTGTGCACAGCAGGTACCTGCAGGTTGTCTGACTCTGCTTTGACCCGCAGTGGTTTAAAATACTCCCTCCCTATGCCAATTATTCTCTCTCTGAAGATTTGAGAGACTCAGATGCTGTGTGCCACAAAGGTGAACTCTGACAACTGGTTTCTGAACCTCATCTTGACCTCAGGGTAAGCAGCTCCTGACTCCATGCATTCATTTCTGACTCTGTAATGCTTAAATATAGAGCAGTCCTCAGGCTGCAATGAGTCATTCACCCCTAATGACACTATCAGACTGTTGGCAGCCGCTCCTGTCAGGCAGGAGGTTGATCTACTCCACAGGGCAGATGTCCCTCCTACAAGTGGGATGTGCCTGTGTCCCCCCCATGCTAATGGTAGTGAACCCCTTCCTGGAAGAAGCTGGAAACCCTCTTGACTTTGCATTATCAGCCAAACCAAAGCAAGAACTGACACTTGTGCGGATCCTGGCTTTGGCAGGATCCTTCTGTGTTCTGCTGGGGACATGGGGGAGGATAGAGGATCTGAGCTCTTTTTCTAGAAGTTTTGGCCAGCTCAGTTAGTTGCTGGTTGATGTTTCAGCACAGCTTAAGTAAGGGGAGCAGGCAGCTTGTAGTTAAGGTTAGTGGGTAGTCGTCTGTGATTGTTTCAAAGCCTGGTTTGGGAGCCAGATGACTCACTGGTTATCAGAACCACAAATGCAGCTTGATGATGAAACACAGCTTGATGGTGAGTCCCTCAGAGTCAGGTCAGAGTCCAGAGCTGGAGGATGGGTGGAGGGTTAACCCTCTCCGTCAGCAAGGAAGCACTCAAGTTCGTGCTTTGGTCCAGTTTCCAGGGGTCCCTGGACAGATGACTTCAGCCTGGTGCTGCTTCTCCCCATCTTTAGGTGCTGATACTGCCAGACCCTTTACTTTGTCTTGTCCTGCCCTGAGGCAACTCACAGGCCTTTTTCCCTCTCTCTGACCCTACCCAGCCTTGTTTAGCTGCAGCTGCTGCAGTTCCTACCCACGCAGGGTTCCTCCCATGGTCATGATCCCCATGGGTTGTGCTCCAGCTACAGCTGTGCTGGAAGAGCCCTAGATACCCAGGCAGAATGGGTGGGAAGCCACAGCGCGTAAGTGCTGGTTAGAGGTAGCATAGGGCTGAACCACAATCCTTCCTCCATGGGAGAAGGCAAAATCCACCCAAGCCTGGGTAGGTGCCTCAGGCTGCCTGCAGACAATAGGGCAGCCCCTCTCTTGTTGTACAAGGGGAGAAGGTTCTGAGGTGCATCTCGCCTCATGAGGACTCTCTGCTACCCTGTGCTCTGGCTTGGCAATAGCAGCTTGGGGGCCAGGCTGGCAGCATGAGCTTCACACCTTTTTGCAAAGAGGTAGGCCTGCTGCAGTGTCCCCAGGCAGGGAGGCAGCCTGCAGGCACCCCAGAAAGCTCAGAGACTTAGAGCAAGCCCTGTCCTCCAGCAGGACAGAGCCATCCAGCTACTCACATTCTCCTGGCATTGACCCACCTTGGTGAGGGTGCAGCAGTTCAGCAGCATGCACCGAGGAGGAACTGGGGATGGAATTAATTCACATTTCTAAAATGAAAATTAAACTGCTCATATGCTTTAGACCAGTTTCCTATCCTGTGGCTGCCGAACTGTGAGCACATTAGCTGTGTCCCTGGGCTGCAAGGGGAAGGGAGTGCAGGTCCGTGACTGCAAGCCAAGTGCTCCATCAGCAATGCAGGGCTCTGTTCCACAGGGCTTCTAACTAGCCCTCACTGTGTTCTTTTTGCAGGTTCCTGAGGGGACCACAAACGAAGTCCAAGCTCCCCTGTTCTGAAGCACAGAACAACCACAGTGATATGAACTGTGGATGTCTCTATCATGGCAGACATGAGCCTGCCCTGCCTACATGTAGCGCACTGTCTTCTTGTCCTGTTGTTGGTGTCTGGGCTGTAGGTACAGGCTCATTCTTCCTCTCTTGTGAGTAACTGGTTGTTTGGCCTGTTGGCTCCAGGAGTTATTTATTGTCCCTGCAAAAGGGTCTCTCAGCAGCTGACCCTGTGCTGTGCCCGTTTTGTTTCAAACCAGGGATTCATGCAGTTCCCCCATTAGTGTTAAACCCCACACCAGCTACTGCCATAAATCACTGCACTGGGGAGACAAAGCAGCTGAGTCATGTCCTGCCCCAGGAGCAGTTCAGCTCCTGTTCATACATGTTGTGCAGAGCATGATTTCAGTCCAGCCTTGTCACCTGCCCTTCCCCTTAGCAGCCATCAGTGCTGTGTTTCCAACTGACAAAGTCCCGCTCCAAGAACACGTTTCATAGTACTTTGTGGTGTGAGCATCTTTGGCACCTGTCCACCTAGGTTATGATGTGAAACAAATGAGCTCAGTATCCAGGAAACACATGTGGTGATAAAAGTATGTCATCAGATTTACAACAGCCATATATGAGGAGAGTTTGATGTGGAGGATTTTTCACTGCTGCTGGCAGTGGCTTTTATTTTAAGCCTTTTTTTTTTTTTTTACATTAAAAATTTAATTACACAAAAAATCAACAGTAAGGCAGTATTCGTTGTCAGTCACTGTGAGCCAGTTTTCAGTCATCTTTAATACAAAACTAGAGTCACACAGGAGCCATGCTCTTGATCCAAAAGCCCTTTGAGAAATGAAGGGGTAAGGGAGAAAGCAGCAGCACCACCTGTAATCCCTTACACAGTGTTGGGTGCACGAATACTACTGCAGCGGAGGAGGAAATAGGATTGTCTGTAGTTTAAAACCATTAAGGGTACCCTTTCTCTTCCAATGATCTGGCAACATTTCAGCCTGACATGCCTCAGCAGGCTGGAGTTTTAGTTTTGGGGGAGTTTTATTTCTTTTTAGACCAAGTCAAATTCCGCCCCCCCCCCCCCCCCCCCCCCAAGACAACTATTTTTCTTCCCCAGAGAACTGCAGGTCATAGAGTAGTTCAATGATTTAAAAAGTGACACACTGAAGGTTGGACTTAGATTATCTTAAAGGTCTTTTCCAACCTAGTTGATTCTATAAGTCTAAACCATTTTTACTCCCCAAGCAATGCTTCTTAGAGAACATTCCTAAAATGCTGTTTAAGACTGGAGATACTTGCGATGGCTGAGGCGAGGGAGGGAACCATTTATTCAACTTCCGTAGAGGTTGCACAGCTTCTCTCAAGCTTTTCAGGTTTTAGTGCCAGTTCAAGAGAGATGGGAGGAAAAAAACCCACTGCTTAATATAACAAACCTGTGATTTCTCTGTGGTTCAACCCTTCCTTTCTTCATTCAACATGCAGGATGCCACAGTGTTTCTTCCACTACAGCAGCACCTACAGCGGTCACACTGACACTTTTAATTCAGTATTTCTTGCTTACCTCAGGTAAACTTTTCATAATTTTTATGTGTCAAGTAACTCCTCTACTCACTTTAGGAAGGAAAACAAAAATGTCTTTTCTGTGATGGCAAAACCAGAGGTTTTCTGAATGTGGTCACAGTGGTAATACATGGATTTTTTTGACTGGCTTTTCCAAAAGCAGTTACAGATGCTTCGGAGCTGCAGAGTGAAAATGAGTGCCCCGAAAGTCAGACTCCCAACACCTCGCTGCTTGCTCTACTATTCTCCTTGCAAGAAAGTGGCAGGACTCACCTGCAGCTGTGGTTACCTTTGTTTGGAGTTTAAGTAAAAAATATGGGAGAGACCATGGACAGGAACGAAGATGACACTGTGTCAAAGAGAGAAAATTCAGGGAAGTAGAAATGTTACAGGTTTGGTTTTTTAATTATTACGATTCAGTGATCAAAATATGCTCTGATAACCCATTTCTTCAGTGAATCTATTTGTATCAGGCTGCTCTGGTGTACCTGCTATTCTGAATGTGAAAGAGAAGTACAGACATGAGGTGGAACCATTTCTGATTTTAGTTTTTATTTGTTTTCTTAAGTGCTGGATGGACTCTGTTTCACACCTGCCAAAAGCACAGGTGAAATGCAGGAAGGTGCAGGGCTAAGGATAAGCAGTTCCATAGGTCCCATGCCTAACAGGCTCAGTAGAAATCTGACAATGCGTTTTCCAGCAAAGGTTTTAAAGTGTCTTCTCAAAGTATGCAGTTTCTCAAACTCTAGTACCTTAAACTGCATTCTCAGTATTCCCGAGGTATTTCTAACATGCTAACAGTTGGTTCCATCTACATTTTGGCTCAATTTTCAAGATTGTATTGAGGCAGAAAATCCAATTAGCTGACACTGGAATTTATTCCTTGTAAAGACTTCAGGTTTCACCCCTAAATCAGCAAAACCACCATCATACAGAAAAATCTGACTGTTCAGGTATGCCTAGTGCTGCTCACTTGGGTTCTTATCCTCGTGCTAGTGGAGTATTTAGACATTTTGCCCAAACCCCTGCTGTTGAAGGGCTTAGGAAAGCAAGCCTCAACCCACCCTGTTTAAGCTCTTCCTGTGCTGGGAGGTGTAAGAGGATGGCAGTTACTGTTCCCACAGGAATCTGATGCACAGAAGTTCAATAGCTATAGCAGCCATGACCTAGTCTCCCTCAGAGGTTTCAACTTCATCTCAGTATAAGGATGAGTCATCACAAACTAAGGTCCCTGACAGTCACTGGGAGAGTTCTTCCAGTGAGGGCACTCTGGGGACACTTTTCCTCTGTGGGTGGCATGAATCAGAACGACTCCAGCCGTGGCTCGTGGGATGAACAGCAGAGAAATGAGCAGCACCAGAGCCTCCAGAGGAGGCCCCTTCCTAGCGCTTCCTCCCTTCCTAAGTGCCAGTGACAATGCAAGGAGCGTGGATGCAGTGGAGGCAGTCTCCACAAGCCGAGCAATACCAAACCACCCAGAGCAGGCACAGTCTCTGGCATCCTGTGCAAGCAGCTGCCCTGTGACTAAAGGCATATCACTGCAGTGGCCTGCATTCAGCATCTGCAGCAGGAAAAACATCTGCAGAATAAAAAGCATCTAAAAAGATTTAGAATTATAAATAGGGCCATGTATTTCCCACAAAGCCTTGAGAAGCAGGAGGATGAGTATGGAGAGCACTGTATTCTATTCTGGGTGACTATGTGTTACCTCATCACCTGAAGTCTCACAACCAATTAAAAATTCCAGTGTGCTAAGGCACAACTATTCTGATTCATGAAGATGGTAACATTCCCATCCCCACTGCGCAAGGAACAGATGTAAAAGTTTACTACTAAGACAGAATAGAAGCAGCATTTCTTTATGTGGACAAACATACAAAAAATAAAGAAGAATGGAGGGAAGAGCAGCTGAAATTGTCAGGCTGCTCTGATGCAGGCATGTGTTTTGAGACAACACTGCTGAAGCATCTCATCTATGTGTGTGCAACTGCCGAATTCCCCACAGAAGCTGAGAAGGAAGAAAGCTTAAAAATTGGGGCTTTTGTGGAAGTGGAAAACCACGCTAAAACATGGTAATAACCTGTTCCCTGGCTAAACACAAACCATGCCTGCAGTTCTCAACAGCAGTGGTCAGGCACTCTAGAAAAGCAAGGAGTCGAATGTCTGGGAATTGAGGAATACGAACTGGTTTAATTCAGCCCTCCTTAGAAGGGAGCTCTCCCATTAAACCAATCCACCCTTAGAAGATTGACAGAGTAGGACTCTGAGTAAACAGTCACCAGCTTTCTGTGCTGATCAGAGGGGTGCTGGTGAAGGGAACACCACATACAACACCACTACTGGCTGGGGCACAGATCTCTATTTTGTCTTCTTTTTCTTTTCTTTCTGTAGCACTCATAGACCTTAATATATTCTGTTCATAAAACTTAGGGGGGGTATTTTAAGGGAACTAAAAGCATATTTGTTTTGTCCACAGATGAAACACCGGTGTAGTTGAAGACTGAACCTGGAGTGGAGTGTTAGTCGATTGTAAACTGTAGGAGATGTGTGCATTTTACACAGACTGAATACAGAAGAGCCAAAGGACAAGTCTGCATCATTCCAACTCTGATAAAGTGCATGGCCTTCGGAATTCCTGTCCCCGCTCATGGAGCCATTTATTGGATACTGCAAAGACATAAAGGTATTTGATCACTGTACCTGGTTAGCTTGTGCTTCTATTTAAGCTAAATATACACTATCGTCAGCTTTTCGTTAAGCACGGAATTATCTTAATTTTCCTACATAAACACACACAAAAGTGAAGTTGGTCTAATAAATCCAAGATAGAAAAAAAAACCTTCCCAATAAATCAAAGATGCAAAAAAACTTCCAGGAGCTGCAAAACTACAAAGACTACTGAAGCAGATACAGCATTATATATATTTTAGATATTTATACATATATAACAGAAGATATTACTATATATATCATACATAAAATGTAACATATAGATATATGAAGTAGACATAGCTACAAAGTAGTTCTTTAAAAGAAATTCTTCTATGATTTCATAAAGGCCCTAATTTCTGGCTGCTTTTTATTCTACCCTGAAATGCAGAGCAAAAAGAAAACTAGGACAACCCACCAGTAAAGCCCCAGACCTCCAGGTTGTTTGCTGGCAGCGAGAACAACGTGAGTGGTACTTACCCCATTTGTTTCCAACTAGTACTGGGCAGGCTGCATGCCGTGTGCTGTAATCTCCTTCTCCACTTGGAAAGAGATTGTACCAGAATACAGCTGTTCCCTGGAAATTGCAGTGGAAACCCTCAACATTTTGCTCTGTGTGAGACACACTTTCACACTCACTTAACAATGAGGCAAAGGTACGTATATTTGTATTTCAGACATTCCTTTTAAATGCAAGGCTTTTTTCCTAACATTTGCTTTCCTCAGGAATAAATCTCCTTTGACTCATTCTGTGTCTATATATTATTGGCTGTTATTTGTAATGAAACCCTAAGCCAGTTTCATTCAGCTCTGACTGGTTTTATAATGCAAGATGATTTAGTAAAAATGAGCAGTAGGCCAGCAAAGCCAGACGTTATTAGGAACCCTTCTGAGAGGAAAAATCTTAACATGAACTCGCAACTTCAGGGAGAATTCCCTACAGATGGCGCAAGACTAAACCTGCTTACAGATCGGAGTACTGTCATGTTTTGCAAAGCCTATGCATCAGAAGCAGCTAAGTCTAAAACATAACTATGCATTAACAGGCAGAACAGCAGAGGCCTTTGGTATCACCGGTACTACTCTAGTTGCTCCACTTACAATTAAGTACCTCTGTGCTTCTGTGAACAGGGCTCTAACCTTCTTCACATAAACTCATTGTAAAGCTTCTTTTTAAACGTTTGTACATCTGTTATATTTGAGTAGGTGGAGAGGAGTGGTTACACTGGATAAAACATCCTGCTTACCTTTTTAGGCCACACACTAGCTCCTACTTCAGGAAAGACAGTAGCTCCCCCTGCTGACACATCGCTCATCTGAAAAGGTGGGAAAAGGCACAGATAAATTGCAAGCTGACACATTCTCACAGATTAGTAAATCACAATTAGGTTACTAAAGTTAATTTCTACCTCCCAGTTAGTGAGCAAAGGCTGCATGATTAACGGCCTTGAAAAAGGCTGCAACCTACCCTCTTTGTTCCAATGCAACAGCTAGCCTGAATGTTACACGCTCAAGTGCTTTGGCAATGAGCACGCTACAAACACTGATGCAGATACAAAAATGAATAGACAGTCAAATAGTTTAAAATGATGCTGAACTTTGAAGAGGAAAAGCCTCCTTAAGAACATACAGAAGAACTATTATGTATGGGTAAGAAGATGCCCTGTATGTGTCACCATGAAGATAGTGACTGCCCTCATTTGCAAGTCACTTGAGTAAAAAAACATAAAATCATTCAGTGGTATAGAATATGCAGTGATAGGGGTTTTTTTTGGCACTGACACCTGGCAGAAATATATCACTTACATAAAACAACCAAGTAGCAATTCTGTTGCCTGTTCCCAATTCCTTAAAAGCATCTGGCTCATCTTTCTGTGAACAAAAGCAGATTTAGTAAGCATTTCATTTTGATTCTTGAGAGAAGCCAATGACGCACAGCTGCAGAGCCAGCAGCAGACAAACTCATGCAGAAAAATTAATTCACTCCTTCTATTTGGAAGGAGGGGAGAATACAGTATGTACCTAGTAATTTAAGTAAACTAGTCATTTTAAAATTCTGTAGGACAGGGAGGGCATAAGCCCAAATTGCTAATGATAAAGAACAACTCTGCCGAGTATATAAACCCTCTTCACAGCCACAAACTTATTTACTTACACTCACTTATCCCTTCTCGTCCTTGGCCAAGATGAGCGTGGGCAGCCCTTCAGTTCCACATTCACAGAACTGTGCTGCTGCAGAGCAATGCTGCAGGGGTGGCTCCAGCCACACCCTGAGGGTAGCTGCCAACCCTGCTCCTTTAGAGGTGGCTCTGCCTTTGTGGCACTCACAGCCTTTCCTGCTCCTGCCTTTCTGATCTGTGCCAGGCAGGCTGCTGCTCGCCTAGGCGGCCTTTTGCATTCTGCACTCCTCCCTGGCACACAGAGGCATTTTAGAATGCTGTTAAAAAAATCCACTGAGTGATGCATTAAGCACTGTGCTACCCCAGCCGCAGGGTGTCCGTGGCAGCTGTTCCTGAAGCTTGCAACAGGAGTAAAGTACGTCCCTACCTAAACGCAGGAGAACACATGTGGTGTGGCTGCAACACCACCAACCCCCTGCTGTGCTCAAAGGGAAGTCTCTTCCTCACCCCACTCCAGCATGTGCAGGTTACTGTTGCTCTTTCATTATAGGTGGGATGGAGGGAGGAAGCTGAATGTGCCTCAGCAGAGCTTGTAACTAGCCAAGTTACAAGGTTTTTGGTAATTAAGAGGGTTTTTCACATAACTTGTAAGAACCCAATTTTGGTGGGTTGTGAAACCAACTTTTGTCACACCTCTATTTTTACTTCTAGAACCCACCTTCTGTGACCACTATTTGAATGTGCTAAAATTCCAGGAATCATTACTCCAGAAATTAACCCATGCATTTCCAAACAAAAAATGTTAATCATTTGCAATGCTTTTGAGCATGTGCTTATAGAGCAGAGATTCCGATTAATAGTTGGTGGCTTGGAATCACAGTGTAAGGTTAATCTGAAGGTGTTAAATCACACGCAAGTATGCCCAATAAATAACCAACTGAATTCAGTGGCATTGTTTCCAGCAGTCTGTGTTTTAAGCTGGAATAATTTGGGAATTTAAGTAAAATAAATTAAAAAAAAAAAAAATCAGGATGGTGAGATGAGAAGACCTCAGTAGGCTTCTTCCAGTTTCAGGACTCTGCTAGCAATCAACACGTGAACTACAATAACAGAGCACTTGTATTTTCAAAATCTCTTCAAGAGTAGCTGTGTATCAGCTCTGGGGAAAGAAGTTCTCTCTCAACATTGCAGGCCTATACAGTAAGCAGCAATGAAAGTTTTCCTGTACTGCCAACAAAGCCTTTCTCATAGAGGAGGGCATTATAAGCTCTCACCCAGTTTAGGTCTATATCCTTCAGTGATTTTAAACAACATGCTTTTACATGGCCAGTGCCTTGGTCAGCCAGAATACTTCACACATTTCCTCAGATTTAGAATAAAGCTAATGCCCCTTCCTCTCTTAAGAGCTATCACTCATCTCCTTCCAATATTTTTTTTAATTATAGTTTTGAAGAAAAACCTTGCTGCTTTGTGATATTTGCATGATGTCAAAATGTTTATGGATTCAGCTGGTGGTTTAGAGGGCTTTCTCTGCTACCATAGATCAGAAAAGTTGAAGAGCTACAAAATTTAATATATAAATATATAAATATATTTAATAAAGAATAAAAATTGTGCCACAGCCGAGAGGCTGGCTTCACCAGGTGACTATCTCTCCTCCATCTCTTTACTTGCCCGTGCAAAGTCAAAGTGGGGTTCATACTGTCCTCCCACTCCATAATTTGCCACCTGAAAAAGAGAAACACAGTGCTTGTGAAGAAGAAAGAGATGGAAACAGAAAACAGGACTTACCCTTCCAAAATCAAAATGAGGCTCATACTGGCCTCCTACTCCGTAGTTGGCTACCTACAGTGAAAGGAGAAGCACAAAATCTAGTAAAGCTCTGTTTTATCCAGACAAGAATTTGACCATCATTTACAACCTTCTGACAGATGAAGTTTAAAAAAATCAAGCCACAGGAAATTGCCAACTGCTGTCAGCTAAACTGTCCCGTGTGTAGCAAAATCCTACTGGGTTTATTCACAAATAGCTCTGACTTCACACAGCCAGAACCTGGCTCTGAGGTTTACTGTCTCAGCCCTTCAGTCCACCTTTGCAGTTCTCAGCTGGACACCAGCTCCCAGCAAAGCCACAGCTCAACCTTCCCTTCCCCTCCCCAGGAGTCGCCTCTCCTTGAAAGCTCTTCTGTTCACCCCCAGCTGAACAGGTAAAGATATTCCCCCATTACCGAGTGCCTGCTGCTCTCTGATCTAATGACTTCCAGGGCACAGAACCTGACCATGAAACTCCTGAAGACCTGGACAGCTACAGACTCCGAGGAGCCCCAGGATGTTTGGCTACAAAAGCAGCAGCACATCCAAGACTGGCACCACAAGATGAAGTATAGTCCAGGTAAGCAATCTGAGGTACTTCCCAAAGGTACAAAAATGCTTTTCTTCTATAGAAACTTCACAGGCTCTATTCTCTTCAAAACAGGTCATGATACTGTATAAAGTTTAAATCACTTTTTGATGTCTTTCAATAAAGAGGATCCATTGCCCCTTTTGCTGATCGATTTTTATTTTTAAATCTCTTCTGTGTATATATAACCTCAATCTTCAACCAGATGCTTGGGCATTTTATCAGCAGGAGTCTTGATGGAATAACACAGTAGCACAACAGCTTTCAGGAATCACTTTCTAGGTATTTGTGCTTCCTCAGAATGAGTGAAGCAGCTATTCATTTAAATGGCTCAAGCAAATGAATAAATGTAAATACTTCTAAAATAAAATTTACTCAAGTTACAGTACAGTCAGTCTTTCCCACATTACAGAGACACCAGATAATGTTGGCCTTCTAGGACCAAGGATGGGATGGCAAATCTAAACACCCATTCCTTCCCCCTTTCTGTAAGTATCAGAACAAGCTAAGCTTTTATTATCACCACAGTAGTAGTAGCAGCAGCAGCAATAAAATTCACTTTTACTAGCATAAATAAAAAAGATTTACACATCCACTTCAACAAACATCAGGAGTTTCAGTTATTACTGTTTCCCTCCAGTAATAGAAAGCCATTCACACTAAAGTAAGCACTGCTCTGCAAAGACAACTTTGTTTCTTCCTCCCTGTAAAAAAAAAAACAAAACCACACACATTCCTCCCATGGCCTCAATTCAAACCAGCCATGACATTAGCTGCCTCCGGCCTGAATGACCTTTTGTGGCCACCTCACCTGAGTGAGCATGGAACTGCACACAAAGCCAACCAAAATGAAATGCCAACTGGCATTTGTCACCATGCTCGTCCTAACAGTTTACCTGTAGTTCCTCTGCTGTGGAGACATCAAGTCCTGTTAGGTCCTGTATCCTTGTGTTAATGCGAGATACCACAGGGCTTTCATATCCAGACAACCAAGCACTAAGTAGGAGGGAAGAAACCAATTAATAAAGTATGGTAGTAATTGGCAGTAAACTGGCAGCACAAAAGCAACATTTGGAAGTACCTGGAATTCGAGATTATTTTTTCATAGTTTTCAAGAATTTGGTATGATGATCAGAAATATTTCCAGGGCATTATGAAGGCTTGCATTTAATAAACGTGTTTTCTACAACACTTGTTTAATGAAGCTCTAAATCCAAGTGCCTTAATTTCCATACTGGACTATCAAATGGCTGACAAGAATATTCCAACCAATGAAATCTGCTTGAAGCTGTTTTAGAAAAAAAGTATCAGTTTGCTCTTACCCATTCCAAACGGCTAATTTAGACTGCACACTGGATGCATTCTGAAGCAACACTTGAGAGAGGACTAGGTGAGTTACTTTATTTACAGGCAAGCACCTCATTTCAAATTTGGTATTTAACCCCAATTTTTATTAATATAAATGTGAAAGGTCAGCTCACAGTGCCAAAGACATCTTCAAAACGTCTGCCTCCTACCATATAATGGAACTTTTCAGCTAGAAATACCACATTTAAAATAACTGGCAAACTACTTAGCAGAGAACAGTACGCATACCTAGAGCGGCAGTTCTACACAAAAATCACTGCCATCACCCAGACCCAGTGTGGCATTTGCTATTTTATGTGGTTGCTCATTCTTGAAAGCTGGGACTGGGAAGCAGCTGTGCCAGCCAGAAGCAGCCACATACCCAGAAGAGTGGTGTTGTTTGGCAGAAAAAGGCACAAGCTTAGTATAACCGCAGCTCTGTGCATCCCCGCTGGACCCTTACCAGCCACGAACGCATCCAGTTGCTTACATGTAAACAAACACACAGGCATTTTTCATCTCTTTACAAGTTATTTTATTCTCTTTGAAAATATAACTATTTCATCTACCCACTCATCTGCTCACCTGTTGCTTGGTTTTCCTGCTGCTTTATTCATCCTACTCTAGCCAACACACCTTCATTTTCAACCAGGCCTCTTTTCCTTCTCTTGGCATGCTCACTACCTTTGCGGTCCTCCTCTTTATTCACTTTGGCAGTCTCCTACGAGCCACTAATATGGATAATAATACTGATGATTTGGCCCCATTTTTGCCCTTCTTGCGGGTCAATGGAAACAGCTAATTCTACCTTTTTTCTAGCATCTGACTCGGCTCAGAGGTTCCTGCTACTTTTACAAGACTGTTTGTTAGAAATACCTGCTGGCAAGTACATCATAGTATTTCTACTCAACTTTTACATCTACACTAAAATTAAGGTTGTATTCTTTAATGTAAAATTTGTATTAAAAAAAGCCCCAAACAAACAAAATACTGTGCATGGGAGGAACAGTAGCATGACACGTGACACAAGGCACTGACACAGGTTACAGAATCTCTACAAGCTTTTTTTTTTCCTAATGACAGATGAACTACAGATAAAATGAAATAAGATTTCTCAAGACAGACTTGCACAAACACATATTCATCCATTTCCAAACACTGTTAGTATAAAGGAAGTATTACAATGCAATCTTACTTAAGTTGGTAGGAGAAAGACTGTATGAAGCACACACACACAAACAGCTATGCAGCCGCATGCTATGCAGCCATGTTGAACACTTAAAACTCACAAGCAAGCCTAACATCACTTGATACACAAGAAAAGCCCCACAGCCACCAGCTTCAAAGGGTAGGCTCTTGCTGCTTCTATCCAGTCTACACATAAGGGATTGAAATTAAAAAAAACAAACAAACCCCAAAACAAACCAACAACCCAAAACAAAAAAAAACCACTAAAGTAATACAAAAGCAAGCATTCTTGCCATGTTGGCTGTTCAGAGTTGCAATTAAAGCTTTCAACAGGGAGAATACTACACCCTTTCATGAAGGGGAAGTACTGTATGTATTTTAGAAATAAAAGTAATTGGGCTAGGACACAAAGAAAGTCTATGAAGGGTTAAGGAAATGGGGAACTAATACCATCTTCCAAGTGCCAGTCTGTCTGCTGAGCTAAACTTAGGGGGAGACCTGTAATTCTGAAGTTTCCTATGAAGAGTTACAGTGTGATTTAACCCTGAAAGTGTCATGAAAGCTGCTTTCCACAAGGGCAGAGAACTCAGGAGAGCTTGCAGAACCTTGCACTGATTGTCCAGTATCAGGAGGTTTCTGTGCCTGTGGCGTTTAGGATGTACAACAGGGGGCTTCTCTTACTTGCAGGTTTTGCCTAGTGGCCTTCACAGATTATAACAATCTGTCTGACATTGTCCTTCTTTGTTGCTAGTCTCAGCCATGTCCTCTGCTGACATCAGAGTGTGCGCCTAGTTCAAGACCATTTAGAGCCATTTAGATATTCCTTCATACAAAGGAGTTTTTCTCCTGCTCTTGTCTATAAAAAGAGACTCCCCCACCGGGCAGAATAAGCAGCCTCCTTGAACTGTGCTCAGCAAACTTTTTTCTAATATATGCATAGTTCAAGGTTCAGCATGACGCAGTAAATGCACAGAGCTCTATTCTTCAATATACATTTGTTAAGTTGCTCATCTGAAAGAATAATTTGTATGAGCACCATTTTGTCAGTGTTTTTGACCAGCTGACACCTTTGACTCCACTAAGGGCAGAAAACATCACATGGAGAAGGGACAAGCTTACTTTTGGGAAGTCATAAGCATGGCAGTTTAAGATGTGAGTGACTTGACTTCCAGGAAGATTTGGTATTTCCTTAATAACTACACCACACCAAACCCCAAAATTCCCTGACTACAAAGGCATATTATTTTGGTGTCCCACCTGGCTTTGTAAAAACACACCCATGAACTATGCTAATGTTACAGAAATTGGAAGAGTATCATTCAAATGCTGAATTCACATTGGGGGATTGGCTTTTCTTCTTTCTCACACAGATCTGGTTTTTAACAACTTTTATATTCATTACACAGCTAGCAGTAATTGCATTTACTCCTCCCTCTCACACTCCTGTATCACGTATCTTATTAGAGATTTTTATAGCACAATACTTACATGCAGAAGCAATTTTAGACTAATCAGTATATTAGGAAAAAAAACTAAGTAACTTTCCAGAGCTAAATCACATACAAGGGCTTATACACCCAAAGGCTCATGTTCTCCAACTGTACTAGTCAGACTAGTACCAGATATTATAAAGGCTATGCTCTTACTTTTGCTATACCAGCACGGCAACAGAGTATTTCAATGCAGCTTTTGTACAGTCACTGGTCACACAAAACACTGGCATTTATGTAGAAAACTTTCTGAAAAGTATGTAAAAAGTACTAGTAAGAGACGCAACAGGGACTGATATTTCTGAAGTGGAAACTAACATGTGCTGCAAGTTCCAACTGGCTGCTGGGAGGAGAGAGAAAAAAACGCCAGCAGCTTCTTTAAAAGCAGTGTCAGAGTGGCAGAGTTTATTCTGGTACCGTACACAGCACAGCTTGATGGTGCTCCTAGTACTGCTGGCAAGGTGCCCCCTTTTATACAGACTGCCACGTACTGCACAGTGAACAGTAGTCTTCTCAAAGAGAGGAATGCTGTAATTTAGAAGCGCATTTACTAGGAAAGAATGTTTGAGGGGGGAAGGCAGTCCTCTATTAAAAAAAATAAAGCAAGCATTTTTTGGTTTTCAGGAGCAATGATTCATTTGAAATCCAAACCAGCTCAAACAGCTCTAACAGAAAGAGATTTCTACCAGTGGTTCTGCAGGGGAAGTTTAGTGATCCAGCATTAATAACGTGATCCTTCTAAAGCAGCCTGGCTTGGGGATTTTGAGGGTGGCTTTTACCTGCTACTATAGATTAGAATTACTATAGATTTAGGTGTCAATTTCTCTTGAAAAGTATATATACCTTGAACAATCTGCACAGGGAGGAATGTGACAAGGGGAACCATGAGAAGGGGAAGTCTCCCTCCACTCCCAAAGCTGTTCCTACCCTCAAAAAATTGTCTCCACTAACTTTACAATGTGCTATGCCCCGTTTACTTTTACGTTTCTTTACATTTGTAAGTCCATATCCAACTGCGGCATCAGCAGTACTCTCAAGGCGTAACAATTCCCACTAATGAAAAAATAAAACTATAAAGGCTTTTTGGTTACTTTTTTTACTAAGGATCATCTAAGGGGACAATTACGCATCTCAATTTCATCTAGTGACCTGGTCACCTTTTCTAATTCCTATTACTAGCACAGTAAGTTTGACAGAAATCCATGAGGATTAACAAGTGTCTTCAGTAAATGCCCCAGAGCATCTGTGTGTCACAGCGTACAAATGTACAAAAGACTGAATCAATGCTTTTAAAATATGCAGTCACAAATAACCAAGACAGATAAGACATGGACAGACTTTAAAATTAAAAACAAACCCTAAAAATTAAATGCAACACATGTCAAACAAGAAGATGTACGTTTCTGAAGCCATCCTGGAGGGGGCCTTTGGAGGTAGTTTCAAAGAGCAAACGTTTAAGTGCTCACCAGACAATTTCCAAAGAACTCCCACTACCTTGCACACACTGATGAGTAAAGTGACCTGCAGGCTGCTGAAGGTGCAAGGCTATGTTCAGCATATGAAAAGAAGCATTTTCAACTTGCCACTACTTCTAACAAAAGTGGCTTTAAGGATCAGACTTCAGCTACTATTAGTTTTCTATCCCTGAGTTACAGTCATTCCTAAATTGATCCATTTTTGTGATCCAGTGTTTTGCAGCACTTTTATTTAGCAATGAATTTCTTTAAAAAGATAAGCCCCTTAAGCTACTAGCCATTCAAATTTCAGGGGTTTGGTTCAAAGAAGCTGAAAGAATACTAGCTTTCTTTTTCAAACATTTAAACAAGGAAATTCTCTAAAGTTATCAACTGGCTTTATTTTGCACTATTCCCACAAATCACAGCAGCTCATCAGCGCCTAGTTTTAAGCCAATGCCAAGGTCTAGAGGTAGGGGTGAGCTACCCAGGCAGCCTTTTCCACCGTTTGTTAGTGTAAGCAGAACCTCATGCTGCACTAACATTTTAGTATATTAGTTACACTAGACAAGCCATGCTAAGCAGAAAAGGGCACTCCATCTTCGCTATCACTAAGATTTAGAGCTACTTTCTATTTCAGCAGTCCAGTTGCTTTAGGCTATTCTCTTTCTTCTAGAGAGACTAAGAATAGAAAAGTTATGCAAAAACCCCTATTTGCCCCACATTTAGAGATGAAGCAGGACAGTCCCAGAACAGACTTCCTTGGAGTGAGTATACCTTTGGAAGACGTTCCCCTTACCTCTTAGAGACTCTGTAATGGGCTGTGGTCAGTTTCCCAGTCTCAGGGTCATGAACAGTAGCACGGCTCAGCTACAAAAAGAGAAAGGACAAGGGCTTACCCACCTATTAGGCTGCTTTCTTTGCCAAGCCACAGGTGTTTGAAAGGGTTCCGATTGGTCTGGATGGTATGCAATGCTCTTAAATTAGCAATATTAGAAGGGCAACAGAAGCTGTAGCTGCCGTGTCCAAATCAAAACAAATTGGTTGGAAAAATTTGGTGAGATTGTCCTTTCACTTTTTTCCTCCCTTTGTATTTTTTTCCTTTTTTTTTGTTTGTTTTCAACTAGAGACTTTCTGCAAGTAATTTATGGTGCTGAGTTTCACAGACAATTCCTCTTCACCAGAAGTTTAACTCCTTCCAGAATGTTGGTTTAACACTGATGGAGTATGTGGCCAATCTTTAATCACCACTATTGAAAACTGGGGGAGGGGAGGGGTGGTGTGTGCCAGAAGGGAGATAGGACATGTGGGGGGCAGATGGTTTCTTTTAAAGCAATCCAATTTTGGAAAACGTTGGCTAAAACCAAGACTCGTAGTACTTAACAGCCAAGCTGGAAAGAACCAGGAGCTGAGTGAAAACAAGCTTGCGTTCTGCCAGACTGGTGTCAGGCAGGAAATAAAAGAGCCCAGGCAGGAGCATGGGATTATCTCTGACAATGAAATGCTGCTGTGTGACTAATGAACCACTGTTTTGATTGCCACTCCAGCTGTCATGCACAGTAAGGCCTTGAAGCACCTCTTACATACAGGCACTTTCAGTAATCTGCTAGTTTTTACAAGGAAAGGGAGAAAAATTTTTGGTTGGCGAGAAAAGCAAGGGGAAGGGAATAGTAAAAAAAAATAAAATCAAAACAAAAGCCCAAACAAACTGCATTCTGTTGAAGGCTTTGTAGCATCATGTACTTTTTAATACTGATTGTAGAGACCTGCTGCTTGTACAGATCATCACTGGAGAACACACACTGAGAAGGTGACCAAGAAGAAGAAATCAAAATATGCTCCCAGAACTTCTAGCTGAAGGAAAAGACTGAGAAACTCAGCAGTAACAGCCTGTTACAAATCTGCACGTAATAAAGTGGTGGACCTCAAAGCCAAAGTTGTCTTTTTAGACCACCTCTTTTTTCCCCATAATGAGCAGAATCTACTCACTCATTACAGGCCCAAAACATCTGGCAGAGCTCTCTTACCTTTTGCTAATTCTGTAATGTGCCGTCTCCAAGGCTCCTGTTATGGGGTTTGAAATGGTGGCTCGCCTCAGCTGTGAAGCGAACCATCAGAATAGTTGCATTACAAAGCACATATTGCATCACAGCAATCCGACCATTCAGAAGCCTAAGGGGAAATGTCACGCAAGCTGCCACACAAGCCACTCAGTCACATTTTGCAGTGGGTTTTCTTTTATAAAAGAGGTGGAAATTCATCCCCCAGTGATGGGGAAGGAGGGAAGGTCTCCAGTTTTACTAGAAGAGAGGTGTGTTTTGTTGGTTTATTTTCATTTTTTAAACAGAGCATTAGAGAAGATCAAATTTTCTGGAAGTAATGTTTCCATTTCTGTAGCAAGAAGAACGGTCACCTGAATAAAGTAAACTAGAAGCTTTCGTTTCCTTCATATTGCTGGAAGCAGTACAATATTACGGCATGTGTACAATTGGGCCTTTGTTAGCACTCTGTCTTGCACGTGTAAGACGAGTTCCACAGTTAAACTGAATCCAGGCAACACTCTGATCTTGTATAAGCCAAAGATGAATAAAACCCTACCTTTTTTATTCTTTTCACACCACAAGCAGCACTGAACAACTTTAACACTAACTGCTAACACAAACTAATTGCTTAGTCCATAGACGCATTTACACTGTATTCCAAAGCTACACAGTGCCGGAACTCTTGATTCAAGGCCTTTCTTACCAAGTACTGCATTCACTTGACACCATCCCACCTACATCAACACTCTGATTCGGAACCTTATGCGTGCCTTTTAACTTGGTTCACGTACTATCAGACACTCTCTATCATTCATAAAAAGATTCAGCCACAGAGCCCAAATTTTGGGAGAGACACAAAATGGCATACTAAATCCCAAACAATTCAAAGTACGTTTCTATTGTTAAAATAAATGAACTAAATCAAGGCCTCTCCATGCCTACTAACAAGAAAAGGTACTAGGAACTTTTAATATAGAATCACAGACTGGTTTGGGTTGGAAAGGACCTTTAAAGACCATCTATTTCCAACCACCCTGCCACGGGCAGGGACACCTCCCACTACACCAGGTTGCTCAATCTGCTGCCTTTCCTCTCATCCCATGCAGACATATATAAGAATCAAGTCTCCAGCGAGACTCCCAAAGAACAATAAGGCTTCATCCTGCCAGTTTATGCTGCCGGCATAGCAGAAGGCTGGGCACAGATCAGACAGCACTGTCTTCTGAGAGGCAGCAATGGTAACATCCTTAGCATGGCAAAGAAGATGACCTCTTGGTGTCAAAAAACACAATCCTCTTGCTACACTTTTTACGGAGCTCGGCAAGGCCTTGGCCATAGGAAATAAGTGGAACACTGACTGCATACAGATGCTTCTACATTAATGAACTCCATGTCTTTACTATGAACCAAGTATTTTTCAGGAAAATAATTATCTCAGCAAGTTCAGAAGTTAAACCCACCAAATTCACAGGTTTTCAGTTTCAGTGCTAAGACTTATTTCTACTCCACAAAGAAGCAGTTCGGCCATATTCCACAGAATATGCCAGTAATGCCAGGGCTTTAGCAGCTCTGACAAGAGAGCAGGAAGAGATGTTTCACAGGTAACTGGAGAGAACTGCTTGTACTTCTTGCTTATAGTTCAGAATGTTACCTCAGAATTACAATGCAGTCTTTAGTAAGCTTTAAAATCACCTTCAGGCTACTGAGTACTCAGTGAAGTGACCAAGGACAGCCTCATCTTTGATGTGCTTGTGTATAACCAACAGCTGCTTTACTGCAGACCAAGCCAACAGTTTCTCCTGTACTTATTGCAGTTATTCCCCCAATCTCCATTTGCTCATCTCTCTCTAGCCAAAAGCCATTTAGGCCACAAAAGCCACAAATAAAAAAGCAGGAAAAATGTATTTCTACGAGTTTAACCTTATTTTTAGAAGTCACTGGTAATGGATAGAAAAAATAAATCAACTAACTACATTTTTAACACACATCTTTGAGACACATAGTCACACCAACTGGATACAAAATGCAGCTCCATCAGTTTGCTGTTTGTCTTGGGTGCTCCTGTTTACTCTTAACAGTTGAGCTGCCCAGGTTTATTCTGCATTCAGAAACAGGAACCTCAGGATCCAGTTTCTGAATTAGGATTTGATGGGCTGGCAGTGCAACGAAGCAGCTGAGTACAACTAAGTACTGCCCTCTGGAAGCTCTTTCATCTGCAGGCAACTTCAAAGCCTGGGAGACAGAAGTCAGTTTTATACCAAATAGCAGATACAACCCTTCTTCTCTACACAATAGCGTGACATTCCAGGACCAGAGGAATGGCTGCCCTTCCCTTGACAGCACTCTTCTCCACATCACAACTTTGGCAAATACAGATTTAACAAAAAACAGATGACAGGTATACTTCAAGGCAACCTAGCTGCAGTGTTTGTTTTCTGTTGTAGAAAATTCTTCTCCTTATCTGAAAGGGCACGCACTGAAATCGTGCCTGCTGGAAGAGTCTATCAGTCCTGCATTGCTGTTACCTGGCTGTCTTAATTACTCAATTTCCAACTTCCCCACTGTCTCCTTCAAAAAGTGTGTCACCACAAGCTGCAAGGTAAGAAAAGCAATGTGTGAGCACACTGCACACACATCTGCATTCAAGAGGAGACAGAATCACATACACTCACAAATTACATAGGATATTTGAGATTCCAAAAGACAAAGACATGTAAGGCATTTACCCTTGGCTTTGCTAGTTCCTTCACAGTTTCAATTTCTTCATCGGAGATGATATCAAGGAAGCGAACAATTCGAGGTTTGTCCCACTCATCTTCCTGTTTGACAGGGCCCAGAATGTACCTAGGATTCCTGTTTCCATCATAGTAGCGGCAGAAGAGTCTTTTTTGTCTCTGAGGAGTCTAAAAGCAAGGTGAAACAAGACAATCAGAGAATTTCCACATAACATTAATACCTCTAACATAAAAAGAGACGGAACAACTCACTTTTCCTACCTTAATGTTAAATTAAAGAGATGCTTTAAGTTTGAGAAATTGGTACTTTCAGCACATTAATGTTACTCTGTAATACTGCAATGAGCAGTACTTTATACAGTCCTATTAAAGATATTTCTTTTTGCTAGAACACCACCCTCATTCAGTTCTGTGTGCAGACTTCCAGCATCCTTATTTAATTAATTACAATTCTGTAGTGCATCCAAGTTAGTCAGCAGTGCCTGTGGCACAATTTATTTTTGTCTACCAAACAGAATGAAACAGGGAAGAAATCCAACACACACTAATAATCCTCAGTTACACACACTCAGCCAACTGCTGTAGCAACTTCCATTCTTGACATTGTTTGGTTACAGCTGGTTTCATACATTTGGAAACAGTCTACTCCACTTTACCATTTTGAGACCCTCCCCACGGCACAGCATTTCGTACTTCCTTCTTTCAGGCAGGTAATCCTTTTTCTTAACCTCAGTTTCCTTCTCCATTTGGTCTTCTGAATCTGTACTGGACTTATTTGCCTCCTTTTCTTTTGCCATTATATATTCAAAATATTTCATGTTCCCATTTGCTCTTTGATGTTCGGGATCTATTGACAAAGAAACACAAATATCACTGGCAAGTTTCCAATTTTAAGAAGGATTCAGAAGAGGCTTTTTACAAGAAGAAAAAGAAAGCAGATGCACACTACTGCTTCTCAAACAGAAATCAGGAACATCTACTTTGGTTTGAAAGCTTTCACAGGATAGCTAAAAGACTGAGCTAAGCTGGAAGCAATGCTAGCCTGCAGCATGTACACATCCTTACTTACCTGCAGGAAAACACAAAATGAGCTTTCTAAGCTGATCTCAACTCGTCCAGTTCAGAGACTGCTTACTGTGAGACCTGGATCCTCAGTACACATAGAGGTCCAAGAACTAAGAAAAAGTGTTTGGCCACTCCAGCCATCCTCACCAGCAAGGGACAGACAAGAGACAGCATGACTGGCTTTAAGCCTAAAAGCTTCCCTGATGAGAATTAAGATTTCTGGTGATAAAGCTTATAAGAATAACTAAACTTACAGGATTAGCTTAATTTTATTAATAAATTGTTCTCAGTAGCCTCTGCTGTATTAGGTTTTGTTCTGAACTTCCCACAGCATCCCTTACACAGTCAATTGGAGTACTTGGAAACAAATGCTTTTCATAATTCAAAAACCAGAATCTAAACTCGCTGTACTGCATTCTGTATTTCTTATTTTTCCAAGCTGTTCATCCTCACCTATGCTTAATTTGCATTTAAATAACCTGCAAAGATTTTGGTATCACCAGTTTAGTTTCAAGTTCATTCATTCTGTTCTTACCTGTACCTAAGGGGAAATAAACTCAACATCAGCAAGTAAGATATAGTAAGAGAACCAAATTTCAGGCTCTTATTTTACTGAAAACTACACATCAAGATGTTAATGGTAATGTCAGTAATAATCCATTAAAAAAAAACCCACATACAACTCAGAATACAGGCAAGACCACACTCTTCAGTACAAAACCGTAACTAGCACCTGCTCAAACACAGAGCTGTATTTTGGTGAGCTGCAGACCTTTCACATACCCAGTTCCAGAAGGCGTTTGGTGAGCATCATGGCTTTGCCCAGATCCCCCTGCTGATACACAGCATAACTCAAGTAGTCCAGAATGTAGGCTTTATCTGCAGAAGATACTTCTCCTTCATCCAACTGTTTCAAAGCTTGTTCCATCCAGAGCTCAGTGTGGTAGTAATCAGCTTCAGTGTAGGCAATCTTTCCCAGCTCAAAGCAATCTTCAGCTGTTAAAAAGGATTTGTGCTTCACACCTGTATTCAAAACAGAACACACAGAATTTACACATAATTCCAAACCAGCCTTCAGTCACATTCAGTTATTTCTTATTCTTTACAGCACAGTTTATTTCTGTTCTTCAACATCTCTCTTCTGTGGTGGCTATTTACTAAAGACTCAGAAGTATCTAAAGCCTGTAAATATTTGGCAGAACACAGAAGCGGTTAGATGCAGTTTTCCATTGCCAGAATAGCAGCAACTGGCTAAATGTCTTTACTATTAGTGAAAAATTACATAAGGTAAACCTTCCTTCTTCAGAACACCAAACACTTTGAGCAACAGCAATAGTAAGCCAAATATGAAGCTTCAGAAATCTGTTTTCAAAGACTTTGCATTATCCCTTTCAAAATGTTACTGAAGCTCATCTTGTTAGCAAGAACTTAGTGGGGAAGGAAAAAGAAAACAGTAAATTCCCAGCTGCTTAAGATTTTTGAAGTCAGTCATTTTTAGAAACATTTGGAGAGACCTCTGAAAGATTAAAGCACCAGCAAGCAAATTACAGATTCCTATTTTTGCCACTGTAAATTAAGGTCCAATGAAAAACCAAATTTAATCTTGTAATAAGGACATACGATCTGCTGGTTTTACAGCTAAAATTACATTCATGATTACATCTTAATACATCCTGAGTTTCTAATAGCAGCTCCCACAGCTTCATTCAAACAAGAGCATTCTGCTGAAGACATGCCTTAAGAGATTAAATAGCTGAAGAGACAGCCCATGAAATGCAGTATCCCACAGAGCAACTTTGGGTTTGCTAACTAATTAAACACTTTGTGGTCCATCCTGTGGTGGCCAGTGGTTTCAGTTTCTTAAGCCCGAATGTGCAAACTCTAAAATAACAGACATTGGGGAACCAGGTGTGGTGGTGGTAGAGTGCTCTTAAAGAGATCCTCTTGAATGAGTAACAGGTTGCAGGGCCATAGCTGGTACATGTAGAAGCAATGCAACATCCGCACATAAAAAGAAAACTCTTACAAGGGTGCTTAACACACCATCAAATACAGCTGATAGCTAATATAAAGAAACAGCACACCCCATAATGCAGGAAAGAAGATTAATAAGCCATATTGATAGCAGGTAAGACTCTGATCAAAACTTGTCAAGGTGGCAAAAATTCCCTGGGAAGAAAAACAAATGGAGCACAAATGACTTTATGGGATGTTCCTCTCTGGAGCTCTGAAGAGACTAACCTATTCCGTTTTACACTCCAGAACTTTTAGGTTCTGCAATTACACTTTATTTCATACAGTCTGGACAGTTTATTGCCTCAAAAGAAGCGATAAGCTACAGTCCACCCAAAGCGCTTCATCTTATATTTTTGTGCCCTTTCAAGAAACCAATAAAAAACTGCTTGAATCTGTAGGTCTTTGAGACTGTCATGAACTAAACCCAAAAGCAAAGTTATAAGTCATAACACATAAAGCAAATTCCCCTTAATTTTATCATGCATCTGACCACAATGAGCAGTTGCAAAAAACACAGATGGATTATACAGACTTGACTGTTTGCCAGTTGGCACAGTACTATTTTTAAACATAGGGAACAACAAAAACACAGCATAGAGTTTTCTAACAAGAAAGAAGTGTGTCTTCTCTTGCATATAAACCCAATAAAGATTTACTCATGTAACACCACATAAGCTCATCTGTGTGTGCTCTCTTTTGTTTTTCAGTTTATACACTTCATGCAGTTTAAGCTCAAAGAAACTTCTTTCACTCTGACAGGTCCATCTTACCAATCAGAGGGAAAGGGATAATAAGTGATAGAACAGTCTTGTTAGAACGCATTACACTGTGCAGAAAAACTACCTATCTGCCAGTGCACAGCCACTTAATTTAAGGAAAATCCTCACCCAGACCAAAATTTTACTGCTGTCCTTTTTTTCATAAAAACTATTAACAGTGCATTATGTTACAGTAAATAGAAGATGCAGACTTCAACTAAACAAAAAGAATCAATTTCTAGCACAAGCAAAAAATGAGTATGTGAGTAGACTGAGGAGAATAACAGGACAAAAGAGTCTCAATTCAGAAAGAAGCTTTCATTCTGTGCAGCTTGTTTTATCCATGTGTACTGGCATAAGGAAGCCCACCAGGCAGGGAAGCCAAGTGGATAAAGTTTCCAACAGAACCACCACAGCAACAGCCCCAACACTATGTCAGAGTGAGTCAGGTCTTCCTGGTTTCTCTTTACCAGCACAGCCTGAAGCAACAAGTTCCTCTCTCTTGATGTGTGGCAGAATTAAAACTGACACCTACACCAACCTATGTTCAATGACCCACATGATGCCACTTTTCATAAAGTATTAGCTAGCTCAAGCATTCTCCTATTGTTACATTCACACCACACAGATGGAAAATGGAACAGAATCAAATGATTTATAATCAGGACATTTATTAGAGATTCAGTGTCTTCTGAAAATAACATCCATGAGTCTTACCTGGAAGATTCCCTCTTGAGAGGGTATCTGTATCCAAATTATACGTATCTTGAAGCCGCAAGAGGGCTTTTGCTGCACCAGTCTGATCTTCATCATTTGGGAAAAACTGCCTCTGGATAGTCATGTTGGAGATAAAGCCTGGAAAAGACAAGGAAACACCTGGCCTTCTTTGTCCTGAGAATTCTATGAATTCTACGCATGAAATGACTCCCTGCTCCATAGCCATTAGCCCTGTAGCGCACCAACAAACACTGTGGGAATACCCCTTTGGTTTCACACAGAAACTATTCTTGTCTTAATAGGTATGTTTTTGTGATTTTTTGTGTTTGGGGGTTTTCTGTTGTTAATTTTGGGTTTTTTTTTGTTTTTTGTTTTAAGTTATGTACAACAGAAAAGACCACCCCCACATGGAGAACATTACAGATAATATATTGGATAATATATTGGTAGTTTTCGCAAACATTCCACTCAATCTGCCTTTCAAAAGGCTTTACATTTAGTAACACAGAATTTACAAATAATTTAGAAGAGGAAAAAACAAACAACGCTAAGAATAGCGGTGTAAAGATAAGGCTGGCCAATAAAAAGATGAAAAACAAAACTGCTGATGTCTTGACTGCAAACAGCTTTTGACAAGGCTTTAGGCAACTCAGGAGCCACTATGAACTTAGTTACTTACTTTCCGTGGACTTGGACATTAACACATTCATACAGAAACTTGGGAAACAAACAAGGTTAAAAAGGTTTCTCAAGAGCCATCTTCATGCAACTGTGAAGTCAAGACACATGCTGAAAAGTCAGCATTTTAAAATATTTGTGTGTGTATGTGAAAAGAAAGCAAAAAAACAATGAAAAAACCCAAACAACTTAGGGGCTCTCTGAAGAGCCACCAGGGTGACATATATAGAAAAGACAAGCAGGTTCTATAAAGGAAACTGTTCCCTGGTCATCAGAGTCACATGTTATAAAAGGTTCCTACTCCTCTCTGATGAACACACACACACTGCTACTGCTATTACTTGAAGGGCCCTCCTGCAGAGCTACTGTATTATCCTTTCTTCAGTGGGAGAACTGATGCTATTTTCCCCTTCTGCTTCTGCACAGTCGAGAGGCTGGTGAACTGTTTGCACTGATGAGGGAAACAGAACTCCAGAAAGCCAGATGGGCAGCTGAGGAAGGCAGAACCAGCATCCTGGTACAAAGGCATAACCAGCAGCCAAAAAAGTGGAACAGCAACAGCGAAGGCCACTATGAGAACGTCAGTTTGAACAAACTGACAGCCACTGGCATTTTCAAAAAAGTAACTTTTCTACTCAACAAACTCTTGTCCCAAGATCCTGAAGCACAACAAGCTTCACAGTGTTAACTAAGGACAGTGCCAATATAGAATCATAGAATAGTCAGGGTTGGAAAGGACCTTAAGATCATCAAATTCCAAATCCCCTGCCATGGGCAGGGACACCTCACACTAAACCATGCCACCCAAGGCTTCAACCAACCTGGCCTTGAACACTGCCAGGGATGAAGCATTCACAAATTCCCTGGGCAGCCCATTCCAGGGCCTCACCACCCTTACAGTAAATAATTTCTTCCTTATATCCAATATAATCTAACCTAATAGGATGGTTGTTAAATTTATCTAACATAGAACAACAGCAAACTAAGCAGCATGAGCAAAACCAGATAAAGTGGAGTATGCAACACTCAGCTAGCTGTAAAAACCATCCCCAAAATAATGACTGGCCAAATTTATGATTTTTGCCACACTCTAGTACTACTTTTTAACTATTCAGACCTGATAGCACAATTTGTTAGTTTATGGAAAGCAGTTCCTGCTTTAAAAAAAATGCTATATTCTTGCACTTGCATGCATCCTTTCTTTTACTACACCATGCTTTCCCAGTATTTTCCTCTTTCCTGACAGTTTTCTTAAAACCTACCCCGTTCAGAAGATAGACTTAGGATGCACTGGTGCAGATTTTTGGCTGGCAAGTGCAGAGCCTTTCTGGGTGGCATATTCAGTCCCTCACAGAAGCAACAGCAAAGTTGAATGTGCTGAATCCTTGGATAAGGTAATTGGAGATTAACCCTTGGTCTTTTTTGAAAGCCACACTTTATCAGTTCTTAATAAAACCTACACCTGGTATTAGTTGTAGAGAAAGATTCTCACAGGTCATATGTAATCATCCCAGCTTCCTTGCTGTTAAATGTCTTTCACAATCAACTTTTTATATCCTACTGCCTACTGAAGAGCTTCTATTCTTGATGAAGCAGAAATGTTTACTACACTAATTCAGATCAGTTCCACAAATGCTTAGTCTCTGCCAGCATTCAAGTTTTGAATCATCAGACAACTGTGGGCATATTAGCAGCAACAGCCCTTGATCACACACAAAGACAACCCCATGTCTTGCACTAGAAGAGTTTGTTGCCTTTTTTTCTCTTCAAAGGGGTTATCGTACTTAGAGATGAAATTTCCTAAAATACTTCTTTGCAAGAAGTGGAAGAATATATGAAACAAGCCCTGATCCTTTGCAAAATTTAAAGCACCCAAGGGGATTACTCAGTTGAAACGTCGCAGTCCTAAATTCTTGCAAAGGTCAAATTATAGCACACTGACAGCAAAATGCAGGTCTTCTAAGATCATTTTTTTAGGAAGACACCTCAAAAGAAGACTTAAAAATCTAATTCAAACCATTACATGTGAAAGACATAGTCAAGTAAAAGCAATTATAATGTAATCCTTGTTCTTGCCACAGGCACACTTACCATCTGACATATCCTTCAGAACCAGACTCTCAAGCTCACCCCATTCTGTGTTAAGCCGTTTCATCAACTTGAATGCGTTTACAGGATGTCCCAAAAATCCCTCTGGGTCTTTCGTGGCAGTATCTGTCAACTGATCCAATTTCTCTGCCCATCTATAGTGAAAATATGCATTCATTAAAGTCTCTCGCAAAAGTCTGTCAACTTGAACTGATTTCAAGCTACTCAACTGTCTTCACTAATAAAACCCCCAATATAAATTGCAAACTTTTACATTATCTATATATAAAGCTTTCCTAGAAGGAACAAAAGGGGCAATTTTTTTTATTTTTTTTTAAGTCTTCTTCCCCAGCTGCAGCCTAGATCTTATGTTGCTCTTGCAGTCTTTGTGGGAACACGGCTGAATGAACTCCTTCTTACAAACACCCAATGCAGTATGCCAGCAGTTCCATTATGAGTTTTCATGCAGGACTAATCAAAACCAAGCTTTATCTGCATGTTTGATCTTTTATTTTTAAATGCCTACCTCAAATTATTTTACCTTTAGACACACACCCTTAAATCCATGATAAGCCCCTTACCTCCTACCACAAAACTGCCTTGCATACAGTAGCTTATACTAACAAACGTATAGTTCTCACATCCCCAATTGAGGAGCCCAGGTCAAATATCTGGTGCTACAGTTCTGACTCCACCAAGCTCTCTTAACACAATTAGCGACATAACCCATTCACAACTCCAGCACCCTGAAACAAGCACACTTTTCAACAACTACTGTTGCTCATCTATCATTTTAATGGAAACTTCCAGAAAGTCTGATCCAGCCTCAAGTCAGGAAGCACATCAGCCATGCTATAAGCACCAGCACTATGCTATTACAAGTCCACAAAACAAGCAAACTTCCCCTAACCTAAATAATGCAGACTTAGAACATGAAGACAGGTAACAACACCCTAAACCCAGGACCAATTAAAGTTAAAAAAGCCACACTCCAAAGAAAATACCAAACTTCAACACCAATATAAAACAAAATCTGTAGCCTGAAGGGAACACTGCAGACAAGCCAGCATTCGGCTTGTTCCAGAATGTGATATGCCTGAATTCAGTTTGCCTGCTTTACCTGAGACAGGTAAATGCTTACAGCTGTTAAAGGTGCCACTGTCTGCATTCACTCTTCCCACCCTGTCTTTAGTTGTTTTCCTACACTCTGCCCGCCCCCATGTGTGTTCTTGCCAGCAGCAAGATGTGTAAAGGGGCTCCCTCCAAAATGGAGGGCTCAAAGTGCTCCCATGGACCCACTTCAGCTACTAGCAAGCCAAAGACTGAAGAAACCAATGTCAAAAAAAATGTGCATTCACATTGCATGTGGTTAAATCCACTGTGTATTTCTTACTGCATGACTATCAAACCTAATGAGCAGCTGAAAATCACTGCAACCATGAGACACAACCACAAGGCCAGGATTTCTTTCATGTAGTTTGTTTCATGGAAGTCTCCACAAGCCACCCACAAGGTGTGAGCCATCCTCTGTATTTCAGTTAATTACCAACTTCCACTCAGTTGATGTCAACACAACCTACCAATATGCTTCAGCCAAAGTACAGAGCTCAACAAATGATGCTAGCATTTTTTTTCCAGGTGGTTCTGTGACAGTTATTTTACTTTTTCTGTCCTGACAGTAAGCACTTCTAACATAGTAAAAACATATCTGCAATGCTTATATGATAAGCTGTATCTACACACTTTTGGATATCCAATTGGCATGTTGCTATCTTAATCTATAGCTGCAAAGAATATACTTAAAACATTCCAAACCTGTAGAGCAATTCCAACTCTGTATCTTAAGTGATAAAAATAAATACAGCCTGACAGAAGTATCTTTCTTCCTGAATAGTAGAATGTAATACACAAATCCTAAAATAAAATCCATGCATCTATCTAAAACTATTTAAACATTCTCAAGCACAGATTCATATACAGTTTTTAAAGCTGAGAAACCATCGTCAGACAAGCAGGAATCCTAAACTGAAGGTATCATACAAAAGGCAGATCTCATCATTAGAAAGCTGCATAAAACAAACCAATGGCTCAGAGATAAAAACTTAGGACAAAACCCCAACAAAACATACTAGTTTAAACTTTGCCTCAAGAAAATTCCACAAATGTAATCAGCCTTAGGAAGCACTTTTTACATAAGGGTAGACTCAAATTATTAACTACTAGCATTATGAAACAAGCCACTTACTTTTTGATCTGTTCCAGCTTGCTTTCTTCTGCCTTGATATAGTCTTTCAGTGACACCACCAGATCTTTTTCTGTATTAATTAAGTCTGTCATATGACCTAGAAAACAAATCAGTTTGGTTAGACAAGGAGAAACAATAAACCTGGGAATTAGAGGTATTCTTCCTCTCTTCTACTTTCTCCCTTCAACTCTTTCTTTCCCATAGTCCTTCTGTATTTGCTTAAATAATCCTGAAGGAGTATCTGAGTAAGTCTTCTTGCCTTTTATTTTTTTTTTCTGAAGGAGAAAAATCTCACGTTGAACCAAACTCATTGCCATGGAAATTAATGCAATATCACATATTTATTATTAGAACTAATTTAGGATTCATTTGGAAAAGGAAGTAAGTTGCAACAAAATCTTTCAGCCAAGCATACATAATGTAGAGCAAATACAGACAAAGCTACAGAAATATACAAAACCATCATGTTTGATATACAGTACTAATCCAGTGTTTTATTTTTAAGATTACTTGCATGACTTCAACAGGTCCCATAACAGACTCTGCTATTAATTAATAATTGTTTCATTTCCTGCAAGCAGGCAGCTAAACTGGTTCATCATGAAGTGATACAGCCCACAGCTTCAGCTGTGTCACAGGCCATCGGAACCCAAGAGAGACTATGCTGACATACTGCCATCATTATGCACCCTTAACAGCTATTTTGCTTACTTATATATATGTGCAACTATCCACACTAAAAATTTTGCTTATAATCAAATACCTATGAGAATACATAATGAATACAAGGACAAGCCTGGTCATTAGACTAACTGGACTGACTTAACTCAAAACATGTTTCTCTCAAAAGACAGAAGTCTGTAAGGTTGTGAGAAATAGTAAGGAGACTTAGGTCTGTACCAGTTAAAGCCTTGGATGCCATTAACACATCACTGCAATATCAGTTTTGAGAGGAGTCAAAAAATGCTTTGGCAATGCAACATATACTCCAAAGCATGTCTCACCAATGGAAGTGAAGAAGTCCGTATGGGCATAAGAGAAAGGCAGCAGAAGTCCAAGGGCTACGGTATACCACATCCTGTTGAATGCCATAGCTGTTACCTCACCACGTACCTATGAAAGAAACAAAGTAGGTAAAAAAAAAAATAAATCCCTATTCACTGGAGAATTGAATCTACCTTCAAAAGAGACAGCTTATTCTCTTGGGGCTGCCACTAGCTCTTGAGGTAGCAGAATCTTATGACCTTGAGCAGCTCTCAGAGGACTGATCTTTCTTCTGCAGACTTTCTTATACTTCTGTGTGGTAAGAGAAGTAGTAATAGCTTGGAGACAGGGTCTTCACAAGCATGCTTCACCTTTTTGACATCTAAGACACATTGCAGATAGACTTGCTTCTCAAAAAGAACCAAAAAAGCCAAGATCAAACACTGAGAAAACCATAACACCAAGTTAAAAAAACATATTAGCAGGTTCATCCACCCACTGACAAAAAAAAAAGTTTCCTTTGATCAGTCAAAAAGATGAACACGTCAAAATGAAAACCCTACACAACCAGTCCACAGAGTAAGCAGCATTCTCCTGCTCTTCAGCTGCCACCAGCATTAAGCCAACCTCCATACACTATACAAAATGCTTCTCTGTCAGCTGGTTCAGTTAGTCCCTGGGTAAGTCCATAGTAGACTCAAAGGCAGTGCTTTCTCCCACAAACAGCTGCCAAGCCTTCAGCCTTTCAAGATCCTGAACCCTTTTAACAGCACAGGATTCCCTTGCTACTGCATACTTGAAAAGTAATTATGCTGTCTTGGAATTCACAAGATTTACTTCTTTACTGTCACGGTTTAAACCCAGTCAGGCACCTTGTTCACTCACTCCCCCTACACCCAGAGGGACAGAGAGGAGAACCAAAAAGAATGCAACTCCCATGGGTTGAGAACAGTTTAGTAACTAAGGTATAACACAAATCACTACTGCTACCACCAATAACAACGATAAAGGAAATAACAAGGGAAGAGAACACATCACCTCAGCACCAACCGACCGATAATTCCCCCCCCCCAAGCACCAACCGATGCCTCCTCCAACCCTGCAGTCTCCCAGCCCTTCTGGGTAACTCTCAGTTACATCCTGGGCATGATGTGCTGTGGTATGGAATACCTCTTTAGTCAGTTTGTCTCTGCTTCCTCCCACCTTCCCTCCTCCCTGGCAGAGCATGAGACTCACAAAGTCCTTGGCCAAACCAAAACATCATTGTTATCAGCTCTGTTCCCAGGCCAAAAGTCAAAACACAGCACTGCACCAGCTACCAAGGAGGAGAAAAATGACTGCTACTGCTGAACCCAGGACAAATATAATAAAAATATAAATATAAAATACAAAAGCTTAAACTTTCATGCATTGTATCTGCTCAGAAAAATGAGAACAGCCACCTGTACTAACAGAAACTATTTTACAACTCTTCTAAGGGCAAGACAGTTAATGAAGGGGAAAAAAAAAGCAAAAAAAAAAAGCAACATCACAAAGGAAGCCCAGCCACAGAGTGGTTCGGCCTAGTTAGGGAAGGAAGCAACATGCTTTTGATTGAGTTAACAGTACTGATAGCAAACAACATAAAGCCAGGCATGCCATCACACAAGGAAGGTGTAAACAAAGTCAGCAAGTGCAAAAGTTACATCCAAAAAAAATTATTTCACCCACAAGTTGAGGTATTAATAGGAAATATTCCCTTGCCTTCAGAGTACAGGATCTTTTCTGGCATTGCACCTGAAATGTCAGGAAGCAGTTTCCTCCATTTCTTTTCCACCTCTAGCACTACAGAAAGAGCAGTACTCAGGTTTAGATCTACTGACTCTGTGTCCTGCCTCTTGGACAGGACAAGTTCAGTTTCACTGGCACTAACAAGAACAAAAATAAACTCACACAAGCCTAGAAAACAGCACAACCTCCAACTCTTTTAAGTCATCTGAATCTGTATGACCACAACTGAAGGGCTGAAATATTCTGACACATTTGCTGTTACAAAGCAAGTTGTAAAGTAAAAATCTGGAGAGAAAAGCCTGGAGTCCTGCTTTTCCCTCAACTGAGTTGGGTGCCTCTGCCTCACCAATGCTCTAAACCAGCCCTGTTGTCCACAGCATCATTCCTCACCTTATCCCCTCCACAGGCAGCCAGGCAACAAGCTAAATCAGATTATTTCAAACATAAGTAATAGAACAAAACTTCCCCCAAAACCTCATTTCATCCAAACTTCAATTCTGATACAGTTCACTATGTAGCTATGTAACATTCAGGCCAGTACAAGAGGGCAATTTAGATGCAGGAACTGGCAGCCAAAGATAGCAAAGGCAGGCAAAATTGTTGCTTCTGGTGGCAGTACACGTTTAACCCATTTGTGAAAACCCAGCCCTAAACACAATGAACAAATATACAACCTCCAGCCAGCCTGTAAGACTTCCCTAGTTTTCAGCATATGCCAAGGATCCTAGGTATGGTCTATACAACTGTACCTAGCTCTCCTGTGACTAATGTCAGTCCCATTAAAAGAGTTCCAACTGAGTAACTGCTGTAAATTAGGAGGTCATATCTAGAAGCAAATTTTCTTGCTGGCAAATCTCCTTGCATTCTTTAAAGAAGCTGTAGCCACATGCACAAGGACACTGATGTATACCTGCACTTTTAAAAACACTACCCAATTCATATTTTGTTCTGCAGAAAGCCAAATACCTCCTGCTCATTCAGCACTCAAGCCAATACATCTGTGAATCAATTACAAAGCACACACAATTCTACTACATGATAAATATTTGCCAACCTTGTCAGTACTCACAATTCATTGAGCTATTTTGTTTACTGCACTCAGTGAAACAAAAGGGCAGCTTCAGGAAGTTTACTTTTTAATATTAATCAATATTATTAACGAATATATGTAAAAAAAAGGGCACCAAAAAGGTGATAAAAGCACCTTCTGAAGCAGTAGGTGGACAGGTGGTCTTCTCTCCACCTACTGCTCTTTGTGACAGTCTTGGTGACACCTCAGTCAATAGAATGATGCCTTAAAGCCAGTTTGAGTAGCATGCTTTGGGAACAGTTCTTCCTCTTCTCTACCTGCTTTTACAGCCTGCTCCAGTGCTGTGCTGATTCCAAACACAGCTGCAACTCTATTCCCTCCTCACACCTTCACAAGCACAAAGCAGTGACTGCATGGTAATGGTCACAAATTGCAACAAGGGAAATTCTAAGGGGGTACAAAGAAAAAGTTTCTCTCAATGCCAGCAGTTAGGCACTACAAAGAGGTTGCCCAGAGAAACTGGAGTTCCCATTTGTGGAAGAATTTCAAAATTTAACTGGACAAGTCCCCATGCAGCCTAAACCTAACCCAGCTTCAAACAGGAGGCTAGGCTAGATGACATCTAGAGGTCACATTCAACTTCATCTTCCTTCTCGCAGTCTGAAGATTTTCTGTCACTTGCAAGGACTTGGACTCCCGTAATAGTTTTCAGCCACCCAAGATGACTTCCTTCCCAGAGAGAATTCAGAGAGCTGCAAACAGAGCTCAAGGCAGTGGCCAGCCAAGCTTTCACTGCCCTAACAGCAGTTGCCAAGTAGCACAGCTTTCAAAACTACTGCAGAAGGATCAGCCACAGGTTCCCAAATCAAAGACAATAAAGCTCAGTTAAGACAGATGCTGGAAATCTCTCAGATACACAAGCTGCCAAATAAGTAGGCTTAATATCTTCCTGTCAGTGACATGAAGGAAAAAAAAAATGAAAATCCCGTCTTCTGACTTTCCACAAGAAGCAAATTTGCTAAGCCTGAAAACAGTAAAACATGGCAATGCAGGGAAAAAGAAAACCAAACACCGCAAAAAACAAAAAAAACAGTAAACAAACCCACCAAAGCAAAAAACCTCCACTAAACAAAAATCAACAATGGGGAAACTAGCAAAGAACAAACAAACAGAGACAAATAAAACAAAGCAACAATTATAGGAATGGTATTGCCAAGCACAGCACAGGATTCCCTGATACACAACAGGGATACACAACAAATGTCATTTCAAATTATGAAACTTAACAGGTGTTTTGGTTTTCTTAGGACTTTCATAGATCTCAGCTCTGTTCTACGAGTAAAACAGGCTGCAAGAGTCGTACGAGTGTGGGCATGTATGTAGCATCCATACAAGCAGAAGAAAAAGTTATGACAAACTACAGATACAACCTCACAAAACCAAGGTCTCACTAATGGGTGACCGAAGACTGAAACATTTAACTAAAGATGCTGATTATACAAGTCTCCTCACTGCCAATGCCAAGCTCCCAGGTGCTTACCAGGATCCAGAAAACACAACAGAAAATGGAAACTGAGGGTGTATGTCAGCATAGAATTATTCTGGAATAGCTCTAACTCAATTCCAAAACAGATTCTTTATTTAGCCAAGAAATAAGTGACCTACTCAAGTATGCTGCAAGGCCAGGAGTCAAAACTGTATCACCGACAGCCTCAACTTCTGATTGAAACACTGGTCCACTCTCACAATCCTTACTGTATCCCACTGTATGTAAAATCCTTACTGTATCCCACTGTTAAACTGAGCTGGAGAAGGGGCACCAGGAATAACAGCTGTTCACTGCACTAAACCTCTCTGGTCTCAAGGATAACTGAAGTTATACTCTCATGACATGATGCAACTGGAAATACTACTCAAAAGGAAAGAGCTTTCCCAGACTAAGCACCAAGTATCAAGAAAGTTTAGCTGTCATCATTGCTTAACAGTGCCACAGGACAGAAACATTAGAACACAGTTCCCTAAGTTTTCCAGCACATTATATTTGCTTAAAGATTGTTTTAAGATTAAGATCTAAGCAGTGAAAGAAGAAATAGTTTCTAGAAATGCTGCTAACAAAAGAACATGGCATGATTTAAGCTTCTTTTCAATGGCGAAGTTTTAATACAAGTAATCACATATATAAGTAATATAATAATCTAATAAGATATGACAATCAACTTTAGACTCAAGTAGGTGATGTGCTTCAAGTATCATTATTGACAACTTGAAGACAACATTCATGAGTCTGACTATACAGCAGGCGTGTTCATACACAGATTTGTACCCAAGG